CAACAGAATGGAAATGATCTCTGTGGCAGCAGCTGCTCCATGAGCAGTGTGTTGTAGAATGGTAGAGGTTCTGTGACTTCTGTCCATCTACTTTGGAAATGAATCCTAGCTGTACATAGTTTTCCCATGTCTCTCCAATTTCATTGAAGAAACTCATATATGTGCTGGGTGTTCTTTCCTTCTGCCTCTGCTGTTCATTGTAAATAGCAGTTAACTCTGGGTTACAGTGATCAGTCATTAGTGTCTGCTTAGGTGAAATGTGTTATGTGTTGCTTTGAAGCTATTTTCCTGTTAGTGTTAAGAGACAAGATGGAAGCAACATCTTTAAACTGTAGGCACTTTTTGAAACAGTTCTTCCTTGGCTGTTTGGCTGCATTTCTTGTCCAAAGCATGTTGTCATTGATTCTTTTTCATATTAATAAATAGGTTTCAGCTCCTCAGTGAGTTGCTCCTAAAACTGTTAAATAGATTTATTTATATAATAGTATCTGCAAATCCTCCAATCAGATACACAGCTTTATGCTTAATAAAGTGCTTTTCCTGGCACAGGATATAGAGTTCAACAGGTACCATAAACTGTACTGTCAAAACACTACATTCCTACAGTAATTTAACTGCATATACTCTAGACATTTTATTATTGTAGACATGTCACCAAAAAACCCCCTGCAACTGTAATACATTCTGCTGTCTCAGCACACATACCTTACATGGACTTGTTCTGAAACACTTGCAATTATTTGGGCCCATAAAGCAAGAATCACAATTCTTTCTCACTAGAAACATGTTAAATTTAGCTGCAGTAGACAAGGAGATGCAGTGGAATAAACGCAAATATTGAGGATAACACTTTGTTATGCTGCATTCCACTTTATGATTTTTCAAAAAGAGTTTATGGTGTTGCCAACATTCTAATAAGATAATTTCAGGGAAAAAAAATAATTTTAGAGGTAAGTGATTTTTCTGTTTCACCTCCTTGTTGGGATTCTCTTGTATTCATTTGTAAAGCAGTTTTAGTTTTCTAAATATAAGAATAATTTAAGAGCCAAAATAAAGCCTAGCTGTATTTGGGGTTCTTGTCCAAAATAATCCTTAACTTCATTTCTCAGAAGCCTTTTAGCCAAAAAGTTCACCTTACCTTACAGATTTTTTAAGGAAGCTGTGGTTCTTGTTTTACTACATCATGAGAAGTTGGACACCAAAATCTCAATTGCTGAGAATTTTGAGCTAAAGCATAACTTACTTGTGCTTCCAGCAGCGTGGACTTCAATACACTGCAAAATAGCCAGAACTGATTTTGTTCAGAAATGTGGCCACTTTGTAGAGCACTTGAGTAGGGAATGAGAATTGCGTGTTCCATGTTGTCCTTGGTCTGATCTCCTTCCTCTTAGAAAAATGTCTCAATCACCTGGTAAGTGAGAGCACCTTTAGATTTGAATCATTGTAATACACAGAAGGCAGAATATTTGGGTTCATAACATATGAGTTTTCCTGATGGTCTACACTGAGGCTGCAGGATGGTCTGCTGAATTACAAAATGTTTGGATGTATTTTCCATTTTGCAGTGTATAAGTCTTCAGTCTAGCAAAATTTTTCCATTTATATAAATAAATGATTGTCACTTCTGTAAATTAGTTAAGCAATAGTTAATCCTTGCTTTGTCCAACACTTGTGGCTGACTGTAATTCATGTCTAGTAAGTGTTTGCATGTTGGTTTTTTCTTCTTTAATCAATAATGGAGAACTTTGAGTTGTTGATTTGTAAAAGCTCCGTACATTTATTAATGAAGGTATTAACTATCTTTTCAGCATAAACCACGAATAATAGAGTACTTTCATGTGTGCATTTGAGTGTATATTTTAAGTTCTTTTATTTCTTTCCTAGGGAAATGTTCTTTGTAGATTTTAATTTATTTTTTAACCAAAAGCTGCTAGCCTAGAGGCTTAATTGAAGCATCCTGAGTCAGATGATAACAAAATGGGGTGTAAGGCAACAAATATAATTGCTTGTCTGCTGTTTATAGATTATCTAAAGTGCAGCCCTGAAGTTGACACTCAGTTTCTGAGTGGCAGCTGTGAATTTGACAATTATCTTGTCCATTTCTGAAAACTGTAAGCATCAGCAACTGTTGGCACATTCAGGAAAATGGTTTTGCCTGGTTTATCCGTTTTCCTTTGCGGACATTATCACCACCTCTGCTGTGTTGAAAACTGTCCTAAATGAAAGCTTCAGTTATTCTAAAATTTGTAGCTTGCTTCAAGAGTTGGGGTTTTTTTCCCCTCACCAGTATTTCCCACCACCACGGTATTTCATGTTTAATGTTCAGTCGTGTCTACAGAATACAGCTGAACACGTTGCAAAGGCCGATTTGAGTAACCGTGGTTTAAGATTATAAAATCTTGAGTGATCACTTCAGCCACACCCATAAACCAATGAACTTTCATAAAAGAAAAATTAAATAGAAGCAAAATGGGCATCTCACAAGAATAGGGCAAATGTGGAGAGACCTTTTTGTTCCAAGGTATGTCCAAGGTATGCTGGGTTACAATTGGCTCTAATTAGCACACTGTATCTGCTGTAAAAATCCTTTGCCTTGAAGCGCAGTGACACTTAGATATGAAATCTCTTTCCACCTTTGAAAACATGGAAGAAGGTGGTTCCAGTATAGCTTTTAAAACTGAAAGTTTGGCCATCAGTGCAGGGAAGGTGCAGATTCATCAACAGGCATAAAAAATACTGATCTCTGGCTGGAAGAGCTCTTAAAGAGTTAATTGGTCAAACAAGATTTCATTGTCTATAATTAAAAGTATATCTCCATATGTCAACACTAAATGCCAGTTATATTTTCAGCAATATGTAAGTAAAATGTTGGATTTAAATAATCGTAATCAGAATCAACTTGAAGAATTCTTAATTACCTATTCAGCTGCATGATGATCCTGATGTCTTGTAACTTCACTTTGGAAAACTGAGTTGTGAAGGTTATCTGTGATCACATGCAGGTTATAGTGCATTCTTTTTTTATCCTTTTATGTGTTCATAACATGTTTTCATCTATTTGTGGGATCTCATTGATATATCTGCAGCAGAACTACATGAAATTCTGAAATACCCATGCTAGTGCCAGTGGTCGTTTCTCATTGTCATTGGTAAAATGATTGTTGAACATGTAGTTGAAACTGCATCTCATAATTTTTATTATCAACACTCATTTTCAATTGCTTGTAAATTTTTCCGAGTTGTACTGTACAACTTTTGAAAAGTGTTTATTGTTAAATAAGACTGGCAATACTAGAGACAAAACAGCCCAATTTAAAGCAAATCATAGAATCCTTCTAGTTCCATGTTCTTGTTAAAACACATTTAAAAACATGGTGGTAGCTTAATGCGCTAAATTGAGTGATTTTTGTCCTAATACAAGACAGCTCACTGCAGATTGACTTCTATAAGTAGGTAATTTCCATGGATTGACAGCATGATAAGGATGCAGGTCATGGTTCCAGCAGAAGATAGATGCAGAACTTAGTCCATTCTTCAATCTGCTCTGTTGCCTTAGGGGAAGGTTAAGTGGGTGAGGAGTGAGCCAACCACCCTTTTAGTTATACTTCTGGCTTTTTCATTTACTTTGTGCTAATTTTCTTTTTGGCATAGTTCTATTTGCTCTACATAGTGTGGCTTCTCTGCAACAGCTAACAGGTGCAGTCATCTGCCTGTGTATCTAATGCTTGTTTTACTGAAAGTGCAGAGTAAAAGGCAATGAAACCCTTCACAGAAGGAGCAAGAGGTATTTGAGAGGAAGGTATCAGCTGAGAATAACTGAGGTTGTGTTTTACATCCTGTGAAAAAATGACACTGTGTCACTTCTTCGTGTTACCTGCAGCTTCCTATTTTCTTTTCCCTGTGTTTTACACCATAAGATGAGATGGAGTTTCATCGCTTAGATCTGCAGCCAGCCAGGTTTAACCCACTGTCTTAGAAAGATAAGAGTAATGCAAAGTCTGGGGTAAAATAGAAGTGTGCATAGTGTGCAGCAGAGTTAGGCAGGTAGCTAGTGGCTGCCTAATGTTGGGCTCACTTGCCCAAGGCTGCATCTATTCATGCAGCCTTCTTTCAATTATTCCATCCAGTAAGTGAATCAATTCATGTAAAAAGGGAAACTTAGAAAACTTATGTCCAGTGATGGGCATTTGGTAACTTCAAGGGCTGGTACTTCATATATGCACTGAAGATGAGATCACCATATCGAATGCTTTTAAATAGCTTAAGTTTTTGTCTTAGAGATGGGAAGAAGTTTCTCCATGAAGCTATTGTTACTAAAGTGATCTCTACCTTCAGCTATATTGTTATTTTAAAATGATTGGAGGTTGCACAACTTGCTTATAAAGGTGTTGGGTATGGAAGCCTATTGTCATTAAATGACAAGCATTATTCTTTTAATCTCAATGTTAACTCAGGTGAATTTATTAGGAATTAGTGCGTATGCTTAGCTATGCCCATACTGACTGGCTTGAACATGCTGCTTCTCATAGGCAGAACTAGAGAGGAGGACCTAGTTCTTGAATTTCTTCACATATAGCTCAAAGTGATCACAGGTTAAAAGCATATGTTGATTAAGTCACGATGACAGCTGCTGAACTGGAAGAGGTTTGCATCAAAGCTTTTTTTTCTGATTTTTTTGTAGCGCCTTCAAAAAGGATGCATAACATTGCATGTGAAGAACTTTGAGGTTTCAAGCTAAAGCATTCACAAGTTAGTGGACGTCAAGGTCTCTGGTTGTTTTTCTGTGTATGTATGCAGAATGACTGCTACAAATTGCCAGTTAAGGGCAGATTTTGCATTTAAAATATGGGATGATTTCAGCTAAAGGAAAAGAGAAGGAATATGTTGTAATATATTTTGAAATAGATTAGCTATGTGGAATTAAAGAAACTTTGTAGTGCAAATTCTATCTGGTTTTAATGTTGGAATTGTTTTTTTGTTTTTCTGTTTCTGTTTTACAGTGTTATGTGGGAACCAATGGGAGATGGTAAAAAGATTATTTCGCTGGCTGATAATAACATATTATTATGGGATTTGCAGGAAAGTTCAGACAAAGCTGTGGTAAGAAATTTTCTTTTAACAAAACGTGATATACTTGAATATAGTGCAAACAACAATGTTCACTAGCCTAGAATTTGCTAATCTTTTAAACTACTTCAGAAATATCTTGTTGCTTTTAACATGGATGGGGAAAATGAATATTCTATCAGTGTTCTTGAATATGTGTGTTTAAGAGTAGTGTTTGTTATCTGTTCCTAGTGGTTAAATGTTTTTTTTGTTCTAGAGTTACCCTTACTTTCCTACTGGTTTTACAGAGGGTAATCTTAAACAAAGCAGTGCTAATTTGGTGATTGTATACAAGGAAAAAGCTGGGAATCAATAAAGCCAAAAGTTACTGAATTCAGATAATAGTATATTAGCTTATGTTGGTCGATAGCATTCAGGCCTCTGTTGAATTTACACCCCTTGTATGTATACGCATAATGTGAATTTCTCTGCTATACACTGTTTTGAATTCTCAATATTAGTCCAATTCAGTACTATACTGTCTATTCAGGTTATTTCAGTCATTGTTAAACCCTTCTTATTCAGGAACATATATAAAAAAGTGTAAGTGGCATAGATTTGTCTGATTATACCGTGTCATGGATTCTGTATAGAAAACTTTGAGTGTTTCTGTATAGAGTCATTTAGGTCAATGCCCGGCCTTAAAAATGGAAACTGAGTATGTCAAGGACATTATTATTCATTTGATCTGTTGTCACTTCTAGGTTTAACTCCACAGGTCAGGCTTAATTTTTTTTGTTGGATGCTGCAGAATCATTTTTTTCAACTTAGTCAAGAGGTTGTGTCCATAAACTGTTCTCTGTTGGTACCACCTGACTGTGTGCAAATAGATGGAGTCTTAAGTTGTTATTATTTTGCTAGATTTCACATAGTATCAATGTAATATAATATAGTTTAATCCTTTATGTTCATAATTAAGCCCTTTGGGTTCCTTTGCTAGATGGGAAAACATCAGTTGGTTTTTTTCACCTGCAACTTCAATCAGTGTTATGTTCCCTTCCAAGATATCTTCAAATTAGTGTTTGTTTTACTCAAATTGATGTTGCGAGTCTCTGACAGCTTGCCTCCAGGAGCTTGTCTATGGCATTGTAGCCACTGGATTTGCATTACACCTGCATTAGTCAGTATTTTTTTTTTCTAATGCCTGCATGATACACAAGCTTTTTTGGAATGCTGTCTGTAAACCTGTAGTCTGCTCTGGGAGTGGTACTGCTTCCATGCTATAGCTCTCCATGTCTCTTTAGAGTACTGGGACTCCTAGACGTTTTCTCTTTCTCCTACCTTTTCTCTTTGGTCAGCTTTATCTTCTCTTGATGAAATTCTTTTGACTGTTAATTAGTATTTTCACTGTTCTAACCACTTTCTCATAACTATCTCTAATTTCTTCCTAATCCTAACCTCTCTGAAATGTCACTGCCCATGGCAGGGGGTTGGAACTAGTCTTTAAGGTGCCCTCAAACCTAAACCATTCTATGATTCTATATGATTTTCTTTGGGACGCTGTCTAGTGTGTTGTCAGTCTCTCTGTGTGTTGGAATCTTGTAATGAATGCCAAATTCTTATTTTATTCCTAATTTTATTTTGCTTGGTATTTATTTACCAAAATTTTGTACGTTGTGTTCCTTATATTTCTTTTCTCAAAACTAACCTCTCACTTCATCACACAAATACTTGTGAATGTAACTATGATTTCCATTTATTCACTTTCCATTACTAGAATTAGAATCTGCATAATTTTGGAGAGGAGTAGACTCTTCACCAAGCTATGCAATTTCAGCATGATTTTGGAAATAGTATTTCTGTCCTCAAAGCAATATTCAACTTGCTGATCCTTTCAGTATTTCAAGTAGTGTTCCATATGTAGGAATTTTTTATTGTTACTTTTAAAATATGTCTGTACTGCATGAAATAGTGATGTCACAAAGGGACTCCAGAAGGCAAAGTAAGTGATAAAGGAACAAAGGGGATTTAACCTGTGACATTTGTTGTGTGCTTATATTTGATAAAATGTAACAAACAAAACTAAATGTGAAATTTTGCATCAAAAAACTGTTTCATCTTATGAAGCTAAAACTATGAAAGTATGTGAAACTACCAACCCTTAACTTAGATCTTCAGATAGAAACATTTTGAAATGTTTATTAAAAACTTTTGTTTGCAGAAGTTAGCAATGTCGTTTAGATTTTGTAGTCAGGCTTTCAGGAGACCTGATGTATTCTTTCAGCTGATTCTCTATATTTCCATCTAAAATAATTTAGTATCTCATGTGAGTGCACTGTAAGTGAGAATTATTTGTGATTAAAATTTTACCTGAAACCAGCTGTTTACCATTACCGGTCTTCTGGTCCGGCAGTTTTGAGTTGGTCTTAGACAATATTTGCTTCAACAGTGCCTCAGTGACTGCTTTTAAAGTGAGACTTGATAGTGAAAGTCCATGGAAATTTGACTCTCAGAATCCCTGAGATCTCCACACATCAAAATTTTAAGCCAGATCAGTCTCTTCTGAGATGACTGGAACTGTTACAATTCTGTTGAATTTTTTTTCTGCAACAAATTTGTCTCAAGCATGTCTTTGGGTTCCTGACTTAACCAGAGTCCATCTGAACAAGACTCTGAGGAAAGCATGAGCATCTCTTTAAAATGCCCTCTATAGACTTTCTAGTAATTAAAATGATGACAAGCTAAAGTCCAGTATCATAGACTTTTTTGGGACTAGAATGAGCTATGGTGTAGTGCTGAAATTTTGAAGATGACCTCCTTTCAAAGCGATTAACTCCCTGTTAAAATCCATATAAGACTGTAAAACAGTAACTCTTATTCTGTAGCAATTTTATGGTTGCAAAATATTATGTGGAACTGACAGTTACTGGGAGCAGTGTTTCATTACCGAGATGGCTTTCTCTTTAAAAACAAACAAACAAAAAAAAACAACCCCAAAAAAAGCCACACAAAAAAAACCCACAAGTGACCGACCCCCCAAAAATAAATGTTAACATTCAACCCCATGCTTTGCTACTATATATTAGGATGTGAGAGAAATCTGTGAGAACAGGTTGGTTAAAACACATTGGTAGGAGTAAGCAAGAAATATATTTTCCATTTGGTTATCACCATGTACAAGGAGTGTTTGTAGGCTGATGAGCTGTTGGTGAAATAGTGATTTCTTTCTGTGAATATCCTGTTTATAAGGGATTATTGAATGCATAATATATCATAACTCTAGAGAGCACGTGATTTGTGCTTTTTGGTCAGAATGTAAAAAGACACTATTCTGAGATATATTTTTAATAGAAAGAGCTCTATTTGGCCTTGAAAACAGATACAGAAAAAAAAATACAGCAAAAAAAATAATGTATTGCCACATTACAAAAGGTGCGTGTTAAAACAAATTTAAAAACCCCACATTTGCTTTATGTGCAGATACAAAGAGAGATTATCTAAATGATAAGACGTGTCTCAGACCTCTGATTCCTTTAGGTAATTTAACCAAGGTACAACAGCAGAATAAAAGCTTGAGCTGCTGCCTCTGAGGAGAGACCCTGAGCAAAGGAAACCCTTGACTTTTATGCCTTCACAGTCTATGCAGTGAAAGTCTTGTTTTATCCAGCTGAGTCCTCATGTCTTGCTGTGTCTCTGACTCTGTAGTCACCTGGCTGGCAACAGGTCCCTGTGCCCTTTGTTGTGCAAAGGGTCAGCACTTGTTCCTGGCCTCTTGCCTCAGCCTCCCATCAGGTCCCATCCCCCAGAGCTCAATCTGCAGCTTGCAAAGCAGCTGCACATTGAATCACCTCCACTAAATGTATCCCTCAACACTCGTAAACATATATTCTGAGGGATTATTGAGGCAAGAAAGTCTATACATAATATACTTGCTGGTATGGACTTAAAAGTGAAATAACAATGTACATATGTATGTGTCCCGCATGACATCCTTGTCTCTAA